TAATTCATGCTTGATCCCTGTCAGCTTCTTTTTGATGGCATCCTTGGAGCTAGCATAGATCATTTTGCTCTTAAGGGGTGCAGACTCGGGGGCCCAGAAGATAAAAACCAGATCCTCCTTCTTGCTCTCCTTGGTCTCATAAGTTGCATCATAGAGGGCATAGCGGCACTCCTTGTCTGGCAGCATCTTGACAAAGGTGGCATAGGGGTCATGGACAGTCTGGCCAACATCACCCACCAGGATCTCCTTGCCCTCCTCTAGGATGATGTTCTTCTTATCTTCGCTCAAGCAGAAGAGCACTGCCTTCTTGCGCTTCTTCACCTCCTCTGGCGTTGATGATTTGCGCACCTTCATGTCATTGAACACCTTGATGACACCATCAGAGACAGCCACACCAGAGGCCATGTTTCTGGAAGCGAAAGGAGTAAGGCAAACAGAGCCAGAGGAGAGGAGAGCCGCTGCAGCTGCTGCCGGGATCCGACTGAATATAAATCTTTATTTCTTTATGGATCTACATACATAATCTATAGGGCTTGGATTCACAAAATATATATTTGAGGAATACAATTCAAACTATAAAAGGTGTCATAAGATCAATTTTAATTCTAACAGATTGTTGACTCAGCATCTATAAATTCCTTCTAAATGTACTGCCATTCAGTCAATTCATGCTCCTAGTGACTCTTTTCTGAGCTCATAAATCTTTACAGGAGCAGAAAGCCTCATCTTGCTCCTGTGAAGCAGCTGGTAGAATTGAACTGCCAACCATGAGGTTTACAGTCTTGTGTTTATCCTACAGAGTCACCAGGACTCTTAATTCCAATTGCTGTTGTTTAATATTGTTGAGTCAGCTCCTACAAATAAGAATATGAGCTGGATATGCCTGCATAGGTTTTCTGAGGAGTGAGTGCCAACTTTGTAATTAGGTGTCCAGGGTTCATCTTACAGCACCACACCAGGACTCCAGATCATCCTGCTGTTAAGTGCTGTAGAGTCATTTCTGATTCATGTTGTTGTTGTTGTCAGGTGCCATTGAGTTGGAACCGACTCATAGTGACCCCATGCATAGCAGAACGAAACAATGTCTGATCCTGGGCCAACCTCACTACAGTTGCCACACTTGAGTCCATCAATGATGCCACTTGGCCAATCAATCTCGTTGGGGGTCTTCCTCTTTTTCTTTGACCCTCCACCTTACCCAGCATGACATCCTTTTCCAGTGACTGTTACCTCTGGACAATATGTCCAAAGTATGAGAGACGGAGCTTAGCCATCTTGGCCTCCAAGGAGCACTCTGGCTGCACTTCTTCTTAAACAGATCTATTGGTTCTTTTGGCAGTCCATGGTACTTTTAGTATTCTCCTCCAACACCACAATTCAAAGGCATCAATTCTTCCACAAGCTTCCTTATTCACTGTCCAGCTTTCACATCCATATGAGGTTATTGACCATGGCTTGGGTCAGGCGCACCTTAGTCCTCAAGCTGACATCTCTGTTCTTCAATATTTTTTAAAAAGTACCTGTGTAACAGATTTGCCCAATGCAATATGTCATCTGATCTCTTGACTACTGCTTCCATGAGTGTTGACAGTTGATCCAAGAAGAATGAAGTCTTTGACAACTTCAATCATTTCTCCATTGATAAGCATGTTTTTTATTGGTCCAGTGGTGAGGATTTTTGTTTTCTTTACATTGAGATGCAATCCATACTGAAGGCTGTGCTCTTTGATCTTCATAAGTAAATGTTTC